ATGACGATTAAAAGCATTCGAGACCTCTTTTATTACTGACAACCTAAAAACATGCTTAAAGCATAAGTTCAACATAATTTGGATCAGTAGGTTGCACTTTGAAGGGCTGCCTCTCTTTTATATTTCTCGTACTGATATTGACGAACAAAATGAGCAACCTGTAAAAAGTAGTGACTAATAAACCTTACTTTTCACTTATTACACGTAAAAAGCACTGTTAAAGCTTTTCAATAAAAACCCAACATTTAATAAACATTAGTTCAATCCAAGAGAGCTGAGTGAAACCATTGGTTCGCCCAAGTTTGGTTATAAAATACCTATTGAAATCGGATACTACTGAGTTAACTACATAACAAAAACAAGATCATTTCCAAGCCCTCTTGTGCTAACAGTACTATACTCCAAGCTGGAATTAAAGAAAAACAGAAATGACGTCCCAATGAAAACAAACCCAAGATGCAGGACAATCGCGATCAAAATTCTTCTTCTCCTTAACGCACTTCCTTTCGTCCTCTCTATTCTCACTGAAGCACTTCAAGAAAATATCGCGCGATTTGTAACAAGCTTCACGACTTTTTTTAAGCCCTACTTGTGATTCTTCTGGCATGCCAATCTTTCAGATGTTCTGCAATGCCAACAATCTAAGTTATACTAATGCATTTTGCTCCTACTTGCTAGAAAATGTTATCGGCAACATCTGCTCTTCAATACAACAGGTACTCGACTACAGCGCAATGTCCATTATGAGAAAAACTTTCTGGCGGGCCTTCTCGGGACATATAACAATCCTACGGTGTAACAGCGGATGACAATAGTTAACAAGTGTATATTGTAAATAACTTCACGAACCTAATGCATCCACATTCCAGAGGAACGTCACATAATAAATATAAATCGTTTCAAAATTTCAGACGTGGTTAGCCTGTCACTAACAGTAGTTTGAAACTTTATAAAAAATAATAAGCATAATCAGACAGAGAAGACAAATTGTTAATAAATTTGTCCTCCAAAATGGAAATAATTCCCATTTAAGGTATGCATTACTTCTCAAGATCATAAATGCCACACATAGCACAGTGGAACCTGCATATTCATTTTTTCTAAACCATATTTTGCACCATAACTTACGCTGCTGCCCAACCGCTACCAAAAGCAGAAAGATTACAGAACAAACGAAGGGCGACTAAACAAGCTCAGTGTCACTGCTTTCGACAACCGTCGTAACGAAACCCCCTCAATGAATTCAAGAAAAAAAACTTTCTTTACAAAACCAATTTGAATAAATGCAGCCAAACATCTATGGCGATTGCGGCAAACTTGCAGCTAATACATCCACTGTTTTCCAGCATCCCACTGTACCACAAGTTCATAAACATGACTTCCAACCACCTCATCTAAATTAATTCAAGTATTTAAATAACAACAGCAACAGACATACAACTTGGTCATTTATCTCGTTCTCCTATCCAAAAAATACTCAGGTACCAATGTTTTCTGCAAGAACGTAAATGACCAAATAAAATCTACAGATAAAAATGATTCCTTCCATGCTTGCTACAAAAAAATTTTTTTTTTTT